TTTCTTTCTAGCTCGTTTATTTTGTCACTCTTTTAAAATGTCTTAATGGAAAAGAATAGCTTTTTAATTTACTCCTCCACTCCTTTCTATTTACACTAAAATTTTTAGTCTACAGTAGTTTTGCAACAAAAAACTTTTTTTTTTTTTTCAAATGTTTTCTGGAATGAGAAAACTGATTTTTTTTTGTCCAAACCTCTTGAGAATAGCTGACTGAAGTAATTTTCCCTAAAGAATTTTGTTACTGTTTCATATGTTAAACTTTTTGCAGAAATACGTGAAACAAATCAACAATTTTATTTATCTTTAAAATTAGAGATTCTAGAAACAGCAGTTCTGTTTTTTTTATGAAAATTCATTGTTTTTGGAAAGCAAAGTTTAAGTGTGACTTCTAAAAAGACCAATCTTCGTTTTTCCTTACCCAATGGCTGCCTTTCTCAGAAAAAACTTGCTTAACTTATTATTTTTTTTAAATCTACGCAAATTCGATTAAATTTAATGTTTCGACTTTAAAAAAGTAAAAATTACTCACTATTAAGGGACTGGAGTAGAATATTTACCAGAGTTGCCTAAGATTTATAGAGCGGAGAAAATCTAGACGGCAGCTATGATGTATTTCAAAGCTTTTTAAATTCACTTTTCCAAGTTTCAAAAAAAATTTAAATGTAAGCTTTTTTCCCAACATCTTAAAATTTTTTTTATCTGCTTTCCATTAATAACTCTGCTCAACCGATTTTTCCTCAAAATCCACATTTAAGGGTATACAGGAAAAATTTCAAGTTGGAAGGTGGTATAATGGAGGCAAGAATGGCTCATCTCCTCTGAAAAAAAGTTCTAATTCTCTATGTTATAACAAAGTAGTAAAAAGCAGTACGTTTCAAATGCATGTGCTAATCTTTTTCCTTAAACGGAGAACAATATCACTCTTTCATCTAGTCAAAAACTACAGAAATCCAGATAATCAAAGAAGAAAGTAACAGCAATCAATCCTCTTTGTACTAAAAAATTAGTGCCTTTTTTTTTGAAAACTGGGAGGAAAAGCGTTATTAAAAGGCAGAACATAATAAAAAAAGACAAAGGTCACGAGTTAGTAGGCAGAATTAAAATATGACAGTTTCTTGTAAATGAATCTGTTACCTGCCCTTGATCAAATTTGAAACTTTTCACCTGCGTCAGATTCAGTTGGCTCATTAACTAGAAAAAGTTGGAGAAATGGTTTAGGATTTCAGACGGTTTAGCCATTAACATACAGAAATCCTTTTTTAGCAAAACTTTCTTCTGTAGAGCTTCATTATTACTTAAGTTAAAAGAAATAAGTATTGTGTGTCCTTTCATTAAACTTTAGTTTTATCCTTTCCTTTTAAATGGTAAAAATTTTTGCTTTTACCAGGATTTCGGGTTATGTATAAAGTTTCATTTTTTTCAAGATCCAACAATTAAAACTCGACATTTTTAAGCTAGCATCTCTACTGCTATAACTTGCCTGTCCCTCATTTTGTGCCACCCGGACTACTCACTTTAGTTCTCTTTCTCTCACTCTCACAAAAGCGCTGCGCTAGAGCCTAGACGTTTAGGAAATCCCGAGACTTAGTAAATGAAATAGTATCCCGTGCTACGTTCAAGTCTGCTCCTCTGGAGTATGGCAATCAAGAGTGACAAAAAAACACCTAAACACGTCCACATACGATGAAAACACAAAAATCAAACCTAAGCTTTGCAAAATCTGCAAGCCGTGCTTTTAGCCGTAAAGTATTGTCTGCTTGTACACTGATCAGCACAGTTTGGGAATCTGCCAGGAGCGGATTTTTTTCCCTCTAAGAACCGTTGAAGGAAAAAGTAAAGGGGATAATATCGTACAGTTCCACGAAGACTGTTACTTCCGAAAACAACACCTTAAAGTTTCCACTGCTTAACGTATTGGACTTGGGGGCGTTTATTTTTATGAGGCTGATGGGTCGTTGTGCTTTAATTTTTGTCTTTTAATTTTAACTGTCTGTCCAACTAAGCGACTTATCATAGTCCAATCAACGCTTATCGTAAAAATGCTTTGGGAGTTATCATTACTGAATGGTGTCAAATCTTATGAAATATTCGGTTCTTCTGTATATGTAGTTCAGTATGTCGCAGGCTATAACAACAGTAGGCCGGTTGTCATTGCGTATCACTTGGGCTTTGAGGCCTCTTTCGAACCTTCCAAAAAAGTTATTGGTGTGTGCTTTTGGTACGCCAAGAAGAATGGCAAGCACCCAGACGGTCACAGATGTGAAATACCTCATGTGAGCTTGTTTCCTCCTAACAGTTTGTCATAATTTGTAAATAAGGGTTGTGTTGTTCAGTCAGAAGGGTCGATAAAAAAATGAAGCATTGAGAATTTACTTTATTGCTTAAATATTAAAAAATTTTACTACGATTTTTGATTTAGTTTTATGCTATTGGAATTTTCACTGTGTCAGTTCAGAATTAAAAATGAACTTCACTTTTTTCCAAACGATCAGATATTCCTCTGTTCACCCCTGCTTTCAAAATAAGATTCATATTTCCTTTACTACTACAAGATTACTATTTTTATACGAGTTATTTTTTTAAGCAGTCAACACTTATTTATTTCTTTTGAAAATTTTACTGTTTTTATACCTGTGTAATCATAAAAATGACCAGGTAAGTCATTGTTAGCTCGTTATCAGCGTTTTTTTGAGAGACCATTATCATTTTAGGCAGGATGAAGCTATTAATATTGATAAAGAATTGTTCACTGAGTACGGGTTCAGTGTTGACCAGTTAATGGAACTAGCTGGTTTAAGTTGTGCACATGCAGTTGCTAAAAAGTATCCACCGGGGAAAGTCCTCGTAATTGTTGGACCAGGTAATAATGGAGGTGATGGTCTGGTTTGCGCACGACATCTGAAGCTTTTTGTAAGCGTGTTTTTTTGGTATTTAAATTAATTTTTATCTAAATGAAGTAAGCGGAGGGGTTTTTTGTATGAAAACTATAAAAGTGGAAAATGAATAATATTATTTTTTATACAGGTGTTAATTTTCTACCGCTGATTTTCTTTCAGGGATATTCACCAGTTATTCTTTATCCAAAACGGTCGAATTCTGAGTTAATGAACCGTCTTGTCACCCAGACTACTAAAATGGGGATACATTACTTGGATGACTCGTCTTTACCAGATCTTTCAAAAGATTATTCAGTCATAGTAGATGCTATTTTTGGGTTCAGTTTTAGGCCGCCGTTGAAGCCTCCTTTCGATAAGATATTATCTTTAGTGGCTCAGACCAAAGTTCCTGTTGTTTCTGTGGATATTCCGTCAGGTAATGAGCATTGATAATCATAATACTTTTTTGGTGAAAAATTGCAGAAATTCAAAATGATTGCTTAAAAAAATTATTTTTCTTTTGTCTTTTTTCTTACAGTTTCCTGCGTGAAGTTAGAATTTGATTTTTATTCACATTATTCTGCTGCAATAATAGAAAGTCCTGTGAAGGGTAGTATGCGAATATCGATGTTTCAAAAACCAATTCTAAGAGTAGTAATCACTTCCATTAATTTTATTAAAGTCATTTTTTGACTACCGTTATAAATTTTATTGGTACCTCTTACTCAGTTTACACTGTTATGATTTATTTTTTAGATGTCAACCGTTTTAACTTTCAAGAGCTGGGTGATGTATGTTGCTTTAAGCAAAGATGTTTTAAGAAGCAGAAGTTTAATTAAAGTGCTTTAGTTACTTATATTTTTGGTAGGATTAGCGTTCATTTGGGGTTGAAGTATTTAGGGCAGTAGAACTAAAATAACTTTGTGTACAGATAACAGGAGACTGGGAGAAAAAAAGATCTTGTGCAGTCGGTATTTACATTATAAACTATGAAAGATACTTAGTTAAAAGTTTTGTAAAAGTTTTTTATTGTGAATTCAGAAACTTTAACATGTACGGTCAGGAACAAACAAATTGTATAGTAACAATTTCTGTAGAGGGTTTTAGGAATGTCGACTTTTTATTTGTTTTAATATCTTCTTTTTATTATTGTTATATATATAGTTCATATATTGTTGGTTAATTAAACGTCGGAATTATTACAAGTATTTCTCTTAAAGAAAAGTCTTCTCAAAGTTGGAACCGTACAGTACCTAAAGTGTAGGTTCTAAGCGGAAATAGTTTGTTACAGAATTGCGGTCATTTGGGTATTTTTAGATTCTGACAAATTTTTTTTATATTTACTAATTCTACATGAAAAAGTGTACCTGAGAATTTTTTAAAGCATTGTTTCTTGTTATAGTGTATAGTACTTGAATAAAGGACTAAGGTCTAAGCCAGTTTTTGTATCTAATAAATAATTGACGCCGAAAATTGTATTTCACAGTGGTGCTGATTTCGATTTTAGTTTTAATGTTGCGCTTTATTTTCCACGTTCTGTTTATATATCATTAATTAAGATGCACATTTTGAAGTAAAAGGCAGTTATGTTTGCGTTAATTTGCTGTCATAAATGAGCGCTTCATTAAAATGGAATGGAAGGAATCAGAGGCGTATGGGAAAAAAGCTGCAGTAGCGGATAGTTTGTTGGCAAAGGAAATTGAGAAATCGTCGTTTCTGTAATGAATTATTTGTATTGCTTGGTGACAGTCTAAATCGGCGGGGTCGTTAACTGACACAGAAGTTGCTACGTGGAACTCCCGCTGTGTTTGGCTTTCCTTTCTTGTCATGCCTCTCATTTTCAATTCCAAATCAAAATACACATTATCTTTAACCTGTTCGGAAAGACATTCGTTCTTAGACATTTACTGAACAACCAAAATCTTTTTTCGATTATTTTTTTGAGCAAAAAAGAGGAAATGTTTTTTAGTTTAAATTTATTTGTAAGTAGCAACATAATAAAAGATGTTTTTTCGAGTTTATATATATTCAGTTTCACTGATAGTTTCAATGTCCGGTTTGTCTAAATGCTGAAAGTCTTATACTGTATGTTTTCGAGTGCATTTTTAAACAGTTAGCAGTTGTGATTTATTGGACTACTAGATTACTGTTTTATTGAATTTTCTATATTTCAGGTTGGCATGTTGAAAATGGCCCTGATGATCCGAAGAATTGCATTTTACCAGAAGTATTGGTCTCATTAACAGCCCCAAAGTTATGCGCAAAACATTTTAGTGGTAATGCCCACTATCTTGGTGGCAGATTTGTTCCAGAATCGTTAGATAATAAATATCATTTAAATTTGCCAAAATATCCCGGTACGGAATGTGTACTGTTGCTTTGAAAAAAAAAAATGCGTTAGTTGCTGTATATTTAATTGCTTCAATGATAAATAAACGTATATAGATGCTAACCATTACGTGAAGAAATTCTTTCATTTATAGGGACAGTGTTTTTAGAATTTAATTATAGGAAGCTGGTTTTGTTTTTGTTTTTGTTTAATAATTGTTTACAACTGAATGACAGTGTCTGTAGACTTAAAAATTTTTTCTGGTATTATTGTTGGTAATAAT